CCATCTCACATAAACTCCGCGCTGGATAAGTGTATGGTACACTAATCGGAGGGTGTTTCGTTCGAGTTTCGTAAAGTCCTCCTCGGTCCAGTTCTTGAAGTCTGCTTAGAAGTCGGCCCAGAGTCCGCGGTCCATAACTCCCGTGGTTATATAGTAGGTAAATCGTGTGGTTATATATTCCTCACGCTGATCCTAGTTACATTCCCGTGGGTCAAAACCATTTCTATGGTAGAATCTGATTTTCTCCTCTTATGTCATGTTGCCCCATGATTCGTGCGCCTCTCGGTAGGTCTGGTCCCTATCTACATGTTCATCGGGGTACCCTTGGCCTCTGCTCTGGTTAAAAGCGGGTGTAGGGCTAGTGTGTTCCGTGTATGATCCGGGCATACTTGCTCGTGTATAGCTGCCCCGAGTGCGTGGTCTATACGACGGTGTTCCGTCCATAATGATGGTGAGTGGATCTGAACTTTCGTCGTCGTCTTGTAGGGTCAGGTCTTCTTCCGTGATTAGGGAATGGCGTGCGAATTGCCCTCGGTTGTTACGCTTTCGTTCACGGTGTGCAGATTTGATTAACTATGGTGTCTGGTATGCTGGTGGTGCCATATAGCTCCTATAGGTGATGCTGGGGGGAGATTGGCTGTATTCTAGCGTGGATCCGTGGAGGAGCCGGATAAGTCACAAGTGGAGAAGTTGAACAAGTCACCAGTGGGTTCTGGTGTCCCACAATTCAAAGAGGGGAAGATTTTTAGGGGTTTTTGAGTATCCCCAGTTTTTCCAATGCGAAAAGGAAAAGTTTTAGTCGAATGTCCTTCGAAAAGTAGTCGTAAAGGAGGTGTTGAAAGGTAGAAACTAGGGTGTAGTTTTCTAAATCAAACTTGAAAATTGTGTTTTTGGAAGAGTGAATGGGCTTGCTGGTGCCAATTCATGCTCTTAACAGTGTTTTATCGTATTTTCTTCGATCGAATTTGGCTTATCGTCGTAACGAGTTTTCGTGGTTTTGAGGATTTTTCACAATAACTTAGTGATATAACCTCCAAGTCTGATTCAGCTCGTCAACTGATCAGTGTCGATCAACTACGTTGAAAGGACAGGGTTCACACGTTGCACTATATACACTGGAAAAGGGTATGGTTCGTCCTAGATTCTTAGTATATACGTTGTGCAAAGTGGTGTGAAATGTGTTCGATTCATGTAGCTACTTGAGTTCCTAATATAGTTGTTCCCCCGTGACTCGGGGGTCTGTTTGTTCCGTTCCGGGTTTATGGTATTGCATGATTGCAATATCCATGTTCCGACAGCACCTATTATATTCACGACAAAGAAAATCTTTCTGCTTGAAACGTGATTCCTTCGTCGTTTCAAGTTAGAACCGCCGCCACAGATGATAGTTCTAATCCGTTACTTGAAACAATCACATGTTTATATGACAAAATTTGAGACTGGCAAAACCGCCGAGCTATTTATAAGATAATAAGGGCTAGGTTGAAGGACTGAGAACCTTGAACTCTAGATTACTTGATCAAGTAGATATAAAAAACCATAAATTCGAGGGTGAGAAGTTATCCCGAGACCCGCTTCCTTCGTCCATCATGAGCCGCTCTCGCTCGTCCTTTACAATCTGACGTTATCGGACACCTAGGCGCCTAAAGCACTAGATCAAGGGGTTGGGATAGCCATAATCTAGTCCTAGTCTCTTCTTTTCTCTTTCTCTCCTAATCATCATCAGAGAATGTCATTTTCAATCTACACATTCATTGTAGTGCATTATGTCTTTCGTTAGATGTATTAATAGCTTGAGCGAAGCGATAAGCTATTTACTTACCGATCTTACACGTGATGTCTCTCCTCTGTCAAAGGGCCGATATTAAGGGGTGTGCTGCGTATGTCAGCAGGACCCATAATGTGTGTATTTAGCGGGTTTCATCCCTAGATAGACAATCCAGTTTCGTCAACCATTTCTGGTTGGACGGTCAATTTCTCATTTGACATCCTCCAGCCAGCTTTTTTTCCCAATTTGTGGGGCACCATACCTAGGTGCGCAACTTTCATCTAATATGAATCGAGTATTGTAATTTGGTCCAATCATAATGTGTAAACCGATGTGGGTCTGCTATTTTGTCCAATCATGTTTATCGTACTCTCATGACCAAAGGCTCACTCTTTCTGCCAGGATCCAATTTGGATTCGGAGACGGTGAGACTGCACCTGGCAGAAAGAGTATGCGTTTCCCGGGGTAAGAGATATACGCAATAATAGTAGTTCTTAGAACGGTTCGGCGTCAACGCTGATTCGCCAGGAAATTGTACATCGTTATGTTTATTAACATATTCTCTTTTCTCTTCTCTCTTCTCTCTTCTTTTCCATAACAAACAAGATGGAAGACACTGTGAAACCCCGACTATGCAATGCCTGCCATCAAACCTGCTCTATTGACCATTATCAATCGGATAAAGGGAATCGCATATTCAAGACCTACTCGATTTGTAGCGGCTATGGTAAAGCGTCCAAGAAAGCGAAAACCCCGATTCCGGCTCCAGCAGTGACTATCTCAGTCCCAGTTCCTATAGATCTCAAGTTAAATTTAACCCCCGGAATCCGCTTCTCACAGCCGTCACTAACGTTTTAGGCCCAGTTCGACGCAGGAACTCGGATTTAACTAAATATTCCCGCCATTTGCGGGCGACTTAGGAGCCTACTAAAAAAATATAGAGACTATATATCCAGCCTAGAATTGAGCCTGTAAATGAGCTTAGAATTGACGGCCTTCACGGCAGTGGGTCTTGGAGGGCCAGCGGAGCGTCACTTATAGGCCTAATAAAAAGAAGAAAAAACGTATTTGCGTAGTTAGTTATGCTAAGTTCGCAAGCTCAAGCTATCTGCTAGCCATACTGGCGCAGTTTCTAGTATGTAATACTGACAACTACGTTCAGTGACACATACCTAGGTAGATTAATATGAACATTGGTAAGTCTAACATATTTATTGGTCAGTTTATCGAGATAAAAGAGACATCACGGATACTATTTTTTGCTTCATCATATTATTTTTGGCATTTCCTGATCTAAAAGATCTAGTATCGATTTCCAAGCTCATCAATAGGTGCTCTTGTCGGACTAAATCGGCGAAAGCATTGTCAAGATCTCCGTGCATATAACAGATTTCTTGTAATGGCCCTGCAGGCTTATCAATTGCTTTAAAATGCCGGCGGCCAGTGATCATTTGGATATAACAGTCTTCCAGCTTGCTAAAATTGGAAATATGAAGAGAAGCTGTGCATTCGTCAAGGTAGACATCTGATAATATTCTGATGAGACCGGATGCTTCATCGATCATCTTCGCTCTAAAGATGTCATTCCATTTACACGCGGGTCATCAAGTTTCTGGAAATGGATACATTACTTGTGTTAAACACAGATTAGTAGCCGTGAAAGCCAAATTTCCATTATCACTTTGTGCAAACTGTTAAGAGCCAAAATTTCAGCTCTATGCATCAATGTGGCGCTTTAGCCCAAAAAGAGCAGCACTAGTTCTCATATCTCATAGATATGATCGGAAAACGATATAAAACAGTCAAGCAAAAGCTCGATCGCGCGTGAAGGTGGTAACTTTGAGCCGCCGAGCATATTAGGCCGGTTGAAAGTCGTCTACAAGGACCTGCGCTATCGATATTAACAAGGGCTGTAATGGACGCGCTCAATTGGACCACAAAGGTTGACTCACCCTTCAGTATTCTAAAAAAAGATATCAGATGCAACTTCTCGAGACCGCAAATGGTCGACCAGAGACCAGTGTCATCACGCGTATCAAAATTATTGCACGGACGAGGTACGCTGGGCGATTGGTGCCAGCCCAGCCAAAGATACATGCAAACGGCGTAATCAATCGGTTCATGGGAAAGCCTAGATTAGGATCCATCAACTCATACATTAGAGAAAAAAAGGCCGCCAAAGTCTCGCTACATAAAAGGCCTACAGTGGAGATAGGAGTGATTAGTTCGTTGGCCCGATCATGAGAATCCTTCGCTATGGTCTCTAAACTAAGCACTTTGTTGATTCGCGAGCATTTTTAATGAAGCAAAACATGAAGAACTTGAATTTTCGCGCCTCAGGCAGTTTTTGAAATCGGTGTTGTTGACGAGATCAGGTACTGGTACGTTATATCTTAGCCGTATACAGCGGCTATAACGTCCTGAAAAGAAATATTACTACGCTAGGGGCAATTCATATGTGCAGTGCTAATTGCAAGATCAGATTTTCGATGGCTCGTTCAGGACCTGAAAATTACTGTGTCATGAATGATGCTCCGGTCATTTTTTCACTTACATCGTTAGATGAAAGGAAAACTGGTAATCTTCTGTGTATATCTTGTTACAGCGCATATATCGAGACTAATACCCCTCAATCTAGCAGTTGGCCCACGTTGGCGAATAATTTGCGTTATTTTTCCGATTATGACACCTATTACATGCTTGAAGCATGAGTCTCACGCTCGATGCCATGTCAACGACGTAGACGACGAATTTTCAAAGTACCTACTGAAATGGGGAACGCTCTAGGCAGCACGGTCGGAACGTGCAGGTCGATTCAGCTAGGAAAAACCAACCACAATCACAAGGGAAGGCTCAGTAAGCGTAGGGAGTCAAAAAGTGAAGAGGTGTGTAAAGGTGGACATTCTGTAACTATCACAACTTCTAGATGAATGGTATCAGATGGTTCTGCCGTCTCAGACCGCTTTTTCCTTTATACTGTTTAGGGCTCCCCACTACACTACCTAGTTATAGTCATGTTAAAACCCGAAGCGACAACAGAAACATAAGATGCTATCAACTCTTTTGCGGGCACCAAATTCAGGTACATGATGGTAGAATTCAGCGGTAAATTTATGTTGAATACACGATTCAATTGGGGCATGAAAATAGACCAACAACACCCTTATTTCCACTAACCATTTGTTTAATAGATGCTGCTGAAATCCACGAAAGGGGATTGATTATTTCCCCCCTAGTCAGCAACATAGCTCTCAAGTAATCGCAGCGTATCAGCAGTAATACCCTGATTTTTCCTTGCTAAACGTAAAGCAGATATTCCCGACAAATTGCTGTCTTTCGCATCCGCACCCTGCTTTAACAGATAAACCACAAGCTCATTATTCTCTTTATGCACTGAAAGCGCAAGTGGATCCCCGAAATGTCCAATGGGCTCGTCAAGTAGTTCAGGTCTGATCTTTAGAAGTATCTTCCAGATTTCAACACCACCTGATATAGCATAATAACGCAAATTTACCCCAAGATCTAAATCTTGGCAGTTTTCAATCATATAATCAAACACTTTGAAGTTTCCTGCCATAGCACTGTATTCAAGGACAATCTGGTTTGCATTTGGAAAGTCTGGGGAAAGTCGATCTAGCAAGCATCTGATCCCGGGAACGGATGCATACTGCGCTGCTTCTGAGAGGAGAATTGCATCGCGTTTATCGAGCAGAATTTTTAGGTTTATCGCGTCCTCTTTACCACTTTGCTCGATAATGGCATTTTCAACAATGATGCTGGATATAGAAATGGAATCAGTCGTTAAAATATATCATCAGAGCAGCCCGGAAAGGGGATTTCGCATACTCAGTCTCTTCTGTCATGATGAGGCGTTAACAAGATCGGAAAATAAAGGGCAAATATTCTGAAGTGGGGAAAATCCAAATGTGGATATGGACAAGTGAAGACATTTTCGGAAGGTGGGCTAAAGGCACCGATATTTCGTCCTTACCATATGATATTTTCTCCACTTGCTTAGTGGGGTCCGATTCTATACCCATCTGGTCTCCTGAGCACGGGAGCAGGACCAGATCGATTAGCCGACGTGCGCTAACTAAGTGGACTTCCACCATTCAGTAACTACAGTAACTACAAAATAACATCTGCTGACTGACACGCTCCTTTGATCTGTCAGTTTTCGGACGCTGGGATGTCATCATCTCAGGTAGGGAGACTGCGATCTCGCATGTTCTCTCACAGGAGCTGGTCCTGGGTACCCTAAGCCCCTCAGGATTATTCTGATACTCATGGCAAGGCTGTGGAGTCCTTAATGCTAGTGACGCGCTCGCTCAGTAAGATGATCTCGGGATCTTTTTTAGCTTTATATATCTTGTCATGCTGCTCGTAATATCTAGATCCCTCCTCATATATTTCCCCAAGATGGTGTCTTTGTCCTGGTTTCTTCTTTGGGTTTCATTCCTCGGCCTCTTTTGCTCGGCTTTCCCCATCATAAGCCCAGAATACCATGGCGAGATTCTTGATTTAGAACCCTATGCACAAGACAGCCTCCCACAAGAACAGACCGAATTCACATTAGAATCCCGGGATAAAGTGAAAAAAGTCCCGGGGGTAAATGAATGCAAAACCAAGATCGTCTCCTACAACGTTGCAACCAGACTACCAGACATATTCTTCACCAAGTATCCCCTCAACATCAACGTGGCAAAGTCCTGGGGAGAAAATTACTACGATGAGGATATTGGAGCCACGAAGAATTCTTGGAAGTTTGCCATTTGGGGTCGACTTTGGGATAACGAATGGTTTTCGGACACAGTGTATGAACTGAGACAATCTATGGTGGCGAAGAAGTTTAGTGAGAATGTGATCAAAAAATATGAAGATCGGTTCTTGAAAAACTTAAGCCAGGCTTTTGGGGAGACGGCGCGTGGAGAGGTCATCGTGTTGATTGATCGTAACGCTTATCCTGACAATAAATTTGATGCTAATACTGCTTGGGGAGGTGAGTTAGCCATCAAGCCACTTTCACATCAATATTTGATGTGCATTAGTAAATTCAAGCTGACTAGTTTTCATATTTTTAGGTTGGGAGTGGCCTGCTTTGACAAGAAATAGTCAAGTGACAAGAATCTCTCGAATTGACCCTCAGGATTGCAATAATGAAAAAAAAGTGATTTGGGTGAGAGGAATGGCCCCCTCATTCCAGAAGCCGAAGGGTTATCTGGATGCAACAACACCAAGCAAGTGATCTTTTCTTTATTATTTACCCAAGTAGTAAGGCTCAGAAGGGTCTACGGGTGGTATTACATGCGAATGCAGAGTGTCCAATGCATAGTCTTGATTGATTTAAGAATGGTAGGAAAATAAGTTCCCTAAACAGTCCTTGAACAGGAGTGGATTCAAGTTTCAGATAAAGTAGACAATGATATTCAGTTTGGGTATTCAGGCCCCCGACCCCAAGGGTAAGGAAGTGTTCATCGACAAGACATTACTTCCACAGCCTACGTTCGGGTGGGAAGCAGAAACTCATAGGAATCGAGATATAAGCCGCTCACTAAACGATGACTGGATCGTCAGGTCCGAACTGCCCGTGTCGGTACCTTAGGAGCCATCGACTACTCATCATTCCATTGTTCAAGAATGGCACTCGGAAGTTCCTCCGCACAGTACTTCGACAGGTGGTGATAATTTCCACTTCTTTCGGGGTCGCTTCGTACTCTTTTGCGGTGCCAATTCGTACTTTTCGCGCCAAGTAAGCTGGCAGCTCAGACTCGTGGCCTCGGTTGCCATGCCAGGTCTGATTCTAGTTTTGAAAGTCGGGCAATCCATCCGCCTTTACGATAAGAACAGGGCTGAAGAACCGATACGTAGGTCCCGTCGTCGCAGGAGTGGTGGAAGATCCAACCAAAGGAGTCGCGATATATGATTCACCCGCTGTCTGATTGTCCGAACCCTCGTCATCGTCATCAGTAACCGGAGTTGACTCAACCTGTTTGTCTTCAACCGGGACGAAGGAAAGGTCGACCGACTCCTCGGAGGTATCAGACCCTTTGCCTTCCGTAGCTTCTTCTGTAGCTTCTTTGTGCTTCAGTGTGTGTAAGTCGATTTTCAGCGCCACAATCTCGTCCTTGAGTCCTATGTTCTCTTCATGGGACGTAACAAATGCTGCATTTGCGGCTTTCAACTGGCTGATCAGCTTCTTGATGCGTTTGTTCCGACGCTGGAGTCGCTTGCTCAATTTCTTTATGTCGGCGACTCTCGCTCTACGTCGAGTCCCCATCATGAATAGTGTTACTCCCCAAATGGTATATGGAAGGAGGTTTGCTCCAATAGTGATATATGTGGAAGAGAAGAGGAAACGGCTCTATAGAAAGCAATAAATACCATGTAATCATATATTCATCCCCCGAGTGTAAAATGCAAGTAGACTGACATTCACCTGCCCCCAGTGAGCTCGCACTGGGCAGCAGTCCTCGCCAGGCTGCTGGGACAATGGATTCATACCTTCTCGTTCTCGTGGTGTCCGGTGTTAATCCCCGTTGGGGAGACCAAATTGAATCCGACGTGGTTGTGCGACCGTGCCCCGCGCCGACCGCACAACCACACCAAAAATCAGGGGATACTGGATATGAAAACCATCCGACTTCTTTTTACCCGACTCGCACTCGGGCCCAAAGCTGGTCTTGCATTACTAGCGAACGTGGTGCCGCCCTAAAAAGAAGACAGGACACCCCTGAGCTTGTATACGGTCTGGGATCATATCGTGCGAGATGTGGTGAGGCGGTAGTGAACTGCTGACGCAGGTAGTTAAGCTAATATTGGACAGACCTTGTTTAAGGCCTAGAGACCTCGTTAAGGCTCGGAACTCGTTAAGACTCGACGATTCCGTTTGCTAGAGACCTCGTTAAGGCTTAGCCACGGGCAAACTCTAGACCGGCCATCGCCAAGACACGGGCACCACCGAGACACGGGCACCCTCCTAGGAGACACACAAGGATTCTAGAAAATACTTGTATTCAACTAATGGCAATCGACGGAACTCGTTAAGGCTTAGCCACGGGCAGCCTGTTCAGTCACCGACATACGCTGCTGGCTAGAGTGTATATAAGTCAAAAAGGACTCTCTGCAAGACACGGACGGCCTAGTAGAGGAGACCTCTCTAGGTAACGCGAAACGAGAGTGTGAGCTCATACTCTCGCGGTGCGTGGTGTATAATGGCAGCCACTGCGATAGGGCCGGGACCTATTGAGAGACTGTCTATATAGCCCGAGAGGACGGATGCGCGTGTCGGTGTACAGAGAGCCGGGAGTTAACTACCTCACTCGCACTGAGGGCCTGAGATCGACTTTAGTTCATCAAAGCGATGTCGTCCTAGTTAACCTGCCCGTGTTGTATGCTTAGGGAGCAAATTAAGAGTCACCTACGGGGAGAGGCCTGGTGCACCTTAAACCTGAAGCCTTGTATTTACTAGGTGAAAAACTAGGGTAGTGGTTTATGCAAGTAGGCCTGTCTAAGCTACTCAATGTCTTTTGGGCAGAGCTCGATCACAGTCACACTCCGGAAAGGAGGCCCAAGGAACTACAGGATACCAAAATCGTGTAGACCAGTTGCACTGCTCAATACACTTGGAAAGTTGCTTGAATCAGTCATAGCGACGCGAATCGCATGGTTAGCGGAAGAGCGGAATATCCTCCCGAAGGGCCATTTAGGGGGCAGGAAGGGCATCAGCGTCGACCATGCGATCCAACGAATCCTCGATAGGATATACTGGGCATGGGGAAGGGGGCAGAAAGTCAGCATGTGTAACGGCGTGGGTTGCAAGAAGGCTGAGAGAGGCAATGGACTCTCTACATAAGCTGGCTGAACCAGCTGCCAGGGAAGCAGGGGTTCCCCGGATAAGCTAGTTAGAGATTCGCCACTTCCTGATGTATTTAACTCTCTGAGGTCTTTGGACTCTTGAAGGAGTTCAAGAGTTGTTCTTGTCCCCAATTTACCCTAGTGGAATCGAGCCCTATGGGATACCACACCCACACCTCCGTCCTCTGGTAGCCTTCTCATATTAGTTCTTCTCTTGTTTACGGTAGCCCAACCGCATTGGACTCAAACCCTTACAGCATGCTCCTACTCGATGTGTCAGGAGCATATGACAACGTCTCCCACGAACGTCTCCTACATAACATGGAAAGAATGCGCTTAGGAGTGTTCACACCATGGGTGAAGTCCTTCCTTACAGGAAGAAAAACCTGTATAAAGATGCCGGGTTTCTTCTCCGACCAATTCCCTACACCGACAGGTATTCCCCAGGGCTCACCAATCTCACCAATCCTATTCCTTCTGTTTAATGCCCCACTAGTGCACTCATTAAACATGAAGGGCCTAGCAGAAACAGAGGCATCAGGATGGGTAGATGATGTAGCAACGATAGTAGTGTCAGAGTCATACCACAACAATGTTCAGGCACTAGTGAAAGTCATAGGTCATGCCAACTCCTGGGCTCGACGCCATGCCGCAAAATTTGCACCGGATAAATTCGAACTCATTTACTTCGTTAATCCAAGGGAAAGGGAAGAGGAGGAGACACAGCACAAAAGACTCACCGGCAGATCATCACTAATACAGAAATAGACATCTACGACATCGACGTAGCGTACCTATAGGGCCACGCAGAGATGCCCTTATAGATCAACGAGTCAATTAGAATAAAACCATCGATATCGGCGAAATACCTCAGGGTCCATCTCGACAAACATCTTAATTTCAACATACATCGTCAGAAGCTACTCACAAAGGCCAACGGTAGCCTAGAGGCACTCCGTAGCATCACAGAATCCATGTGGGGAACCTCACTCCTTACGATGCGCAAAGTCTACCAAGCAGTAGTGGTACCACAGATGTTATACGGAATCTCGGCATAGTACTGCCCTCTCGCAAGGGCACTTCTAGTAGGGGAACTACGACGTGCCATCAATAAGCTCACGAAGATACAACGACGTGCCGCAATCATCATAAGTGGCGCATTTAAATCAACAAGTGCGGCGGCGCTCAACATAGAGCTACATCTCTTACCAGCTAAACTACTGTCATGGTGTTCCCACAGTGCGGGAATTATGTAATCATAACCACTTAAAATCCTCTTCGGATCTACGACTGATTCCTCAAGAATCAGACTTGAATACAATTGACCTTCTTGGCTTCATCTCATCTATTCTCTATCCGCTAGACATCCTTACAACTACTCATGGACCAACTCATTCAGGAAGCGGCATTACGGATCCAAACAGGACTAGAATAGACACGCCCAGAGAGCCTACAGAACCAATCCCAACCGAGAGAAGCCAGAGAGAGGAGACGGAGCGGTTAGAGCCTACTCGAAGCACAAAGATATAAGAAAGGAGGCATCATAGCCAGAATTCCGCCTATAACACAACAAGGTGAACAAAATTCACCTTAGGGGGAGTAGGAAACTCCAAAATCATTCGTTCTGGCACTATAAGAAGCACGGATCCTATACGTTATTCAAATAGACCTATAGGTAGCCTAGGCCACGATATATGATATTAAGTGTGGATAGAACCACACACTGGTCTAATATTCGGACAGAAGCGGGAAAAAGGGTCAAATTGGCGCGGCGGCCCTTAATAAAGGGGTGCTCCTATCCCCTTGACTGTCGAATTTGGCCAAATTAGCGCCTTGGCAAAAAGGCCAAATGACACGGCCTATTTCTTATTACCATTAAAGAGCTAAACTAGAACAGGCTTAGTTCTATTATCTAGTTACATTCTATTTACATCTCTGTCGCGTAAAGGCTGGCGTATGGCATGAAAATGATTCCAACAAGACCTTGTATCAGGCCTACATAAAGGGATCTTACAGGCTTTACAGCCCCAACGCGTTCGAAATGGATTGAAAGGAGGATTTCCCTGAGACTTAGCTTTCTGAGCCTGTTGGGTGCAGAATTTACAGGGTGCTCGCCGCTGTATTCTCTCCAACTGATGCCTTCTAGGCTGTAAATCAGGCTCTAAATCAGGCTGTAAATCAGGCTCACTCTTAGGCCTATATCTTTCCCTCTCCCTTTCTCTCTCTCCCTCTTCAAAAAGCTCTTTATAAAGCTGTATCCTGAAGTCAAGCTGAGTTATTGGGGATAAACCCTGCTTTTGGCGAGCAATCTTTGCAATACAATAAGCATTAACAATAGATATATCAAGAAGCCAATAAAAGATTGGCCACCAAGAGCGAAGCGTCTTCCGGTGTGTCTTATAGCTTGCACGAAGTTGATTTGCCCGATCAACAGCTCCCATCTCATGATTGTAGTCATTGATTAGACAAGGAATAGGAAGATCTTTTGTAGGGGAATCCTTGAAAGGCTCTCGGGCAATTTTCGCGCTCGTGGAAGTCTTCGCTGGTCGTTTTCGGAGACGAGTGATCCAATCTGAAGCCTTGTTAATAGTATGTACTGTTGACAAGGCTGTGACAACACTATTATCCTGCCATGCAATACATAAGACCGAATCGACCGAAGCTCCATATAAAGTATTCCAGTTCTGAGCTTTTTTTGACTCCTTTAGCATATGAAGAGCCTTTGGAAAACGCCCTCTAGATGCTTTTGGTCTTGTTGTCCCACAGGCACCAATCCCTCTATCCCGAAGATATTGGAATAATTGGATAGTTGTAAAATAATTATCCATATAGACCACATATCTATTCGGGCATTTAGGAAGAGCTTTCTCAATCAATTGAATGACCTATTAGAGAGATAAATAGAGAAATACATGAAGAGTGATATTGGCTTACAGCCTCTAAGTCTGGTTTATAGCCTAGTTTACAGCCTGGTTTACAGCCTGATTTATAGCCTGTAAACCAGGATATAAACCAGGCTATAAACCAGGCTATGAACCATAAGAGATAAAAGAGAGCGATGTCTTACCATAGAGCCTGTCATAGTCAGGTTTTCAAACTTTTTTACCTCCACTAAAGACTTCTGCCGGCTTGCCCAAATCCAATATAATATATATCCCTGATCAGCTATAGTAAATAGCTTATAACCCTGGGGAATTGGTTTATTTGGCATCTTGAATGTATGTTGAGAACGTCCAAAAGCAAGGATCATAGATTCGTCGATAGCAACTGTATTTGATGGCTCCCAATATTTCAAACATGCTTCTCGAATGCTAGAAGCGAATGGCTCTAGCTTATACCACCACATCTGATTTGGTTTCAGATGTAGCCGTAATGTAACAGGTTGAATCCTGGTGAACTGTCACGTGGTTGTACCACGTGACCCACCAACCGCATACCTCACGATTCCACCCCGAATTGTTCACGTTCTTCAAGGATTTTGTAAATAGCATGTGCCTAGCTAGTTCTGAATTCAAGATTAGCTTTAGCCCTTCACATGAGCGAACGGGGAATCTTGACGATCTCGAAGCTGCCATCAGCCAAGCTCAAGACGCCGTGCAAGCTACACTTGTCGATCAACCCAATCGCGCAGTCTACCTGAAGAACCTATCTATTCATCTTTATTGTCGATATGAGCTAACGGGTAACACTGGTGATCTTGAACTAGTGCTCACAAGTTTAGAACATGCTGCTTCTTCCATGATTGCCATTCCATTGACTCGCGTCTTTGCAGCATGTGGACTACTTCTCATTTTGATGAAACACAATCGCTGGTACAAAGCCTCCTCTCTTGCCGAGAAAACCACTCGGCTTCTTCCTCTCCTTTGCAGCCGTTACCTCAGCCGCCAGGATCAGCAGTATGCTATCACCCAGACTACAGGCCTAGCTGCTGATATCTGCACCATCTTTAACCATGTAAACAAGCCCAACCAAGCTCTTCAACACCTAGAGTTTGGTCGTGGCCTGATCCTCAGCTATCTGATTGACAGCCGCAATGATGTTGATCAGCTCCATAAGGACCACCCAGGCTTGGCCAGTGAGTACGATCTCCTCCGGCGCACTTTGTCCCAACCTTTACCTTCCGTGGAATCTAAAGACAGTGCACATATACTCGAGCGCAAGAAACAAGCCGCTCGCGAGCTGGAACACTGCCTGCATGCTATTCGCCAACAGCCAGGGTACACGCGCTTTCTTCTGGAGCCTGAAGTTCAAACACTTACCGCTTAGGCCGCCGAGGGTCCACTAGTAACGGTTAATATCACGGACCTTGGCAGCCATGCTTTGATCGTCCTAGAGGACCAAATACACTCTCTTGAGCTACCCCTCATGCCAAGCCTCCATCACTTTGGTTTTAACAAAATGCTAGCCCGGTTTCGGGCCGTAGCCCAACGTGGACCGCGCGATGTCCAAAGCGAGCTACAGGCCTCCCACCCAATCGTCAGACTTACTAAGCCATACTACGATGCTGAAGCTCTTTTCTGGCTATGGGATTGCTGGGTCAAGCTAATTCTGGAATTCATCGAGCTTCAAGCATCTGTGCCAACTGATAAGTACCGCATCTGGTGGATGGGGACTGGTGCAGCGAGTTTTCTCCCGTTCTATGCCGCTGGACATTACGAGGATCCACTGCAAAGCACCATGGGCCATGCCATCTCTTCGTACATGCCTACTATCGAGGCACTCGCCTACTCACGGTCCCAGCTGTCCAGATTACCAACTCGCGATACCCAAACATCAGTTGCTATCATGGCCATGCCCACTACACCACAGGAAACATCATTACCGGGTATCGAGTCCGAGATTGAGGCCATCCAAAATGCTGCTGGCTCTGAATTCACTCTCCAGGTGCAGAGATATCCCCAGTCAGAGGCCGTACTACAGGCTATGCAAGAGATCGATATAATTCACTTTGCGTGTCACGGTTCGTCTGATGCCACCAACCCATCCTCCAGCCATTTACTTCTCTAGAAAGACGGACCATCGGGCCCGTTGGTTGATCGACTGACTGTGCAGAAAATCTCTGATCAAATGGTAAAACGAGCGCGTATTGCCTTCTTATCAGCCTGTTCGACTGCTGAGATCACCGCGCACGAATTCACCGATGAGGCGATCCATTTGGCCAGCGTGTTCCAGGTGGCCGGCTTTGGGCACGTGATCGCATCCTTGTGGTCCGTGAAGGACTCTGTCTGTGCGCCTGTGGCATCTCATTTCTACCATCATCTCGCCCAGCAGACCACCGGGTCACTCAGCAATCGGACTATTGCCGAGGCTCTGCACGGCGCTGTGTTAAAGATTCGCAAGACTGAAAGTCCTAATGTCTGGGCATCGTTCGTCCACTATGGCGCCTGAGTGGGATAGAGAGCACCGGGGGCAAGCTCTCCTACATTCTTTACGGACACTCATCTTGACTGCGCCCCAGCTCAATCTACATAGACCTTGACATGTCCCATAGGACAGCTTATGGGACTAGTTTCAGTCTAGACATGGGCATTGGTTTTAGACATGATCTTCGGGTTGGGTGAGGTAATTCTGTCGTTTACCCATGCCTAGCCCATTAACTCAAATTTAAGGTTATAGGGGCTCATTCATTTATGCTGTAATTCTTTTTTTTTTGGTAATTTATGGAGTAGTCTATAAACATCTTGAGTCATAATACTTAGCGCAACTTTAAGGCTCCTTGACTTCCTGAATATCTTATACGTTTTGATTTTAATGGGAATTCAAGTAGAGTGGAATGGAAAATTACATTGATATAGAATGCTCATGATGTACGAATTTGGCATCATCTGCTGGTGCTCTTCGAACCCGTTTTAACACCCGTACTACTGGCAATGACTCCACATCAGCATCATTATCAATTACATTAAGTGAATCAAGTGCATAAAGTATATCAGATGCAGCCTATCGTATAGGGGTTGCTGATATGTACTATATATCACGGCCCAGGATAGAAACATTTCTTATTTCTGTTAATCTGCCGCACTTAAATGTCAATCATCGAATAAACTCAGTATCTGAACAAAATACTTGCACAAATAAAATACACGATGTCATTCATAATCAAAATTACGGCTGGCCTCACATAAATGCGCTTAGCCCAATAATACTTTCACGCTAAGTTCTTGGCAGTGGGCCGAGGAATAATCAATGTGTGTTTGAAGGTCAGACCGATTTCGAGAATGACTGTACTTCATCGTCGAGGATTCAGTCGGTCTTCACGCTCCATTCAACGGAAGATATCCTTATTGGCTAAAGATCACCCTGAATTGAGAATTGATTTTGAATCATGGGATCTAGATGCAGTGGACAGCTGGATAGACAATCTACTTGGAAACTTCACCGCGGTAAAGAAGCTTATTGAATTTTCAGAAGAGGATGCAGCCGTAATCATACAAGTAAGCTACCTGTGAGAAAGCTTCATGAGGAAAGTTATTAATCATGATCGTAAAGAATCAAGACATCAAAGAGTTTCAGCATTTATTTGAGTGGATTTGTTTTCGATTAGGAGACACAGAGGGGGCAATCTCTGAATATATATAATACCCGAATTAATATCCGGTTTAAAAGCAACAAACCTCTTGCATTCGCATCTTCAAGTAGAATTTCGGCCTCTTACTCTTTCTCGTGTTTCGAGACTGAAATTATGTACATAACTGTGTACTGCCATGATATACTTAATAACGAATTCATCTCACCTAGCATTGTAATTGAAGAAGTCCTGGTTTCGTCCTGCGGCTAGTTTTGATCTTACATTTGCATTTCTTGACAGAGTCGCAAGACTTCCATTGCCTTGACTATGCCGTTCCTAGTTCTACCCAGCTCTTCTTGCAGCCGCAATACTAGATTCTGACTGCTCTTCAGCTCCTTCTCTAGACTATGTACTCTCTTCTTCTATTCACAATCTCTGCTCAAGAGCTCTCCGGAGTAGCTGCGCACCCGATTTAGTTCTTCCGTCAAAGTTTGGTTCTCTCGTTCTAACTTGTTGATTGCTGCTGCATAAGGACTATTCTCCACATTCGAGATCTGTATAACAGGAAGAATGATAAAATTTAAGCCTCCACTCACAGAATCTGCATAAGGTTTATTTAGCACATACCTCTTCGTGCGAATTAGGTATTTTCCTGGTGTACTCTAAAGTCCCAGGGATAACAGCCTTGATCAAATGACCTAAGCCTCTTAGAATGCTATCATAAACACCAATGGACCCATTGCTCAGACTCGTCTTCAACAAGTGCTCATTATTCTTGACAACGGCCCAAGCGTAACCATCCTCAGCGCATGGCTGCAAACGCACTCGATCTGGAGCAACCGTAATTCCTAACTGTTGTCCTGTTATTTTTTGTCAATATTTTACAGCTTTGCTAGGTATAAAAACTGTGATAATCACGAATATGGATGGCTAAAGCTTCTCTGCATTCTTGCCTTCGCTTTGCGCGTTTTTCTCTACTGGTTAGGGTCATCAGAATCTGATTTATGATTATGGAAATAAGATAAAGGATACCAAATCTGACTTAGCTATGAAAATGTTTCCTTCTTAAATAGACTAAAATTTGTGGTAACAAATATTCGCTGCGAGTTACGAGATCTATTTTCCTTAACATGGTCCCCACATCGCGTTCAAAAAGAAAGCCCTAATGCTGCCAACCCTGCTTCACTTTTTGGTAAGTAAAAATAAAACTCGAAATAAGTTTTGGCTTAATTAATTCACTAGGGAATATCTTCGGGATTTATCACATGATAAACTACCCCTAAGCTATGTGGAGCGAAATTTTTTTCTTCTGTTCCTATTGATCCAGGGGAGATTTCGAAATGTTGAAGTTGCCTTTTTGAATGTCGACGAACAAATTAGCAGTTTTCAATAATCAACTTAACTTTGTTAAGAATAAAAAAAAAAAAGTTGAATTTAAATAGTCGCAGTGGTGAAACTTAGGAATCACATTCTACGATAGCGAGAGCTGCGATACATAGTTGCTTTTCAATGTTTAAACCTCGGCGAAATTATATTTTCATAACTAAATCAAGAGATTCTATACGGTTTCAAAAGTCCTTTGTAGATTCGGAAAAAGAGATTTTCAATAAGTAATAAGTTGTGTCTTGTACATCAAGATTATAGTCAAGCTGAGCTGTTTTTTTTAAGACTGAAAAGCTACATTGCCCAAAAGGTCAATAATTCCGGATCCTTAATGCCTATAGCTCCTTAGCAGACTGTAAGAAACAGCATTCTGTTTTTTTGATCACTGAAGAAGCTCCCGGGATAGTATCATCGGTCTGATAGTACAAGTAAGAAATGGTAACTAATCTCCTCTTCCTCAAAGGCCTAGAGTCATTCTTTATCTTTAAAAAAGACCCCTAAGATATCACCTTTAGATCCTGGAGAGGGACTGGAAAAAGAGCGAGTCGAACTCCACTACATACAAAATATTCCCATGCATGGTTTCGAACTTTTGACTTTTCTTTTTCGACCTACTTTGATTCCCCCATGCTAGAATTAAAAACAAGAACAAGAATACTAAATAAAGATCTGATTACTTTGAGGACCTCTTTAAGCATATTATCACACCCTCCTGGGAGATGTGATAGCATGAAGCTCCAAGGAGTCAATGCGACAGTATTACCAATCACAATTTGGTAAAAGCCAACCTACGCTCCTAGGATCTATTCCATCACCTCCTTTATCCTAGGAATACGCCCTGGATTTTTGGGTGATGACATAAAGAGTTCACGTACCGAAGAATCACTGTGTGATAATATATAATCATCTTTTTGGAACTATAAATTGCCTATGGATGCAGGGTTCAAATTCATACAAGAGAATTAATTCATTCTTCCTCCCTTTTCATCAAGAGTATAGGAACATTCGCAAATTTTATTATTTTTTCTATTTTATCTCAAGAAATAAGAATGAAGACGAAGACCTCTACCGCCTGCCATGAGTGTCATACCAGAAAGAAACGCTGCTCAAAAGATGGTCCACCGTGTCAGGCATGTGCGGAACGAGGATTAGGAGCTGAGATGTGTAATTACCCTGCGCAGCCTCAACTATCAGCTAGTCAAGCTACATCCAAGGATGGTGAAACCGAAGACTTTTTGAACCAAATTCGATTTCTGGGGAATGAATTCTAGAAAATGGGGAGAGAAGCTAGAGTATCTGTCCCGGATGATCTTCTCGAAGTCGGTCCTGATGTGTCACAAAATTCTTCAGGGCTGCCCATCAGCAAAATAGGAGACCAAGGTGATAAGAGCTATCTATTGAAACTTTTCAGAGCTCTGAAGATGCGCGTGTGTTATGAGCCAGCAGCTTCAATATCCGAGTCTTTGGTTGCTATAAGCCCCGCAGCAGGATGCCTAGAGGATTTTCCTCCTATAAATCACTATGAAGACCTACAGTTCCCGCTGATTCAATGCGCTAGTTCTCGCATGGACCTCATTGCACTTCTCCCACCTCCTCAATATCTTCACAGGCTTAAGGAAACCTATTTTCGTGTCTCTTCGCCAGTAAGTCTTAAAATATCTGAATTCTTGAATATCTAAGCCAAAGCTGACTCAACATCAAGCTATTCCATATTGTTCATGAGATAACTTTCGAAGAGCAGTATGGAGTATTTTGCCAAGATCAAAATTGTGTTTCTTTGGGATGGCTGGCCTTACTTTATTCTATCCTAGCCATGGCGGTAAACGCACTTGAAGATGACGATCCCATATTATGTGATCTGAGTTGGGAGATGTCTGCGAGTAAAAATATTCAAGTGCTGTCTAAACGCTATTTAATTGCTGCACAGCGCTGCCTCTCAGCTGATGGCTCTATGGATGAATGGTCCATTAATTCCCTGCAAGCCCTACTTATCACAGGCTTCACAAAGCTCCACCAAGGCCTACCTTACTGGCAGTTGATTGGATTTACGCACTACGTGGCTGTATCTATGGGCTGCCATATTGACCCAAAGATATTTGAATTTGGGGAGATTAAGCAAGAGGAGCGCCGTAGGGCTTGGGCTGGACTCATGGTTCTTCATTCTGTCCAAAGTCCGTTTTCTGGAAGTTTACATCAACGAATCTTCATGGAAGATGTAAATCTGCCTGCTGACGTTGATGATATTGATCTTTGCGTGGCAAATACTCAACTATACATGACGAACCACCGGGCCTCATCGACAGACGTCCCACCAACGCAGATGACTTTCCTTCTCCTAAGCCTTCATATCCATAAGATCACCAACATGATATGTGAATCAATCCTCAAATACTCTCCGAAACCACGATTTTCCATATCTGAACTCGAGGCAGAAAGCATAACAGTTCTTGAAATATGCAATACACGGTATCAGCCTGATCCAAACAATGGGCCATTGCATATACAAAATCAGGCTAGCATTTACATTCTTCAAATAAAGATTCGCCAGCTTTTCCTTCTTCTTTTCACTCCCTCCCTATGTCTCTTCCTTCAAGGGGAACGCTCACTTGAGATATGGACCATAAGATCCAAATGTGTCTTCTATGCCAAGAGTTCTTTGGCAAACTTCCAAACATTACATGAGTCTGATTATTTGAGCTCGTACAAGTGGTACACTCGCGGCATTGGCTGCTTTAATGCCTTTCAAGCAGCCGTGGTCCTGGCAATGAACCTGTTCTATCCAGGGGATCATGTCGAATTTAATGAGACAATAGGAATCCTACGCCACACGGTGGGAATTTTCGACCATCTCTCCACACAAAGTGGCTTAGCAAGCAGAGCATCTCACGGGATCAATAACATTATGTTTGTTTTCTTCTAAAACCCTGATACGAAACATTCGTTCTTGATATTGACAAATTAATTTGTAGTGCCATCGCCTTCAATAACTATGGAGAAGCTCAAAGAGAAATTGCAAACAGTCTATACTGTTGATTTCTACTTGATTCTTCTCAGAGTGCGTCCAAAGGTTATGCTCTTTCAGAGCATTACACGTTAACTGAATCAACCGCTGATTCTCTTTTATCATGGCTCAGTTTTACCTGAGCTTTGGAATGTCATGATAGAGGTTGATAATGTCTTCTCTTTATTCCGTGTGATCTTGGCTATCACGTATGTATCAGTGTTTAAATTCATAGATCTCACAGCCCGAAGGTGGAGAGCACATTAATCTGACATTCAGCTTTTGGAATCAGTATGGCGTGATATCTCATTGCGAAATTCACAAAAATGATTGATTAAGAGTAGATTATCTCTTTCACCAAACTCAGTAACAGTCTCACTCCTTCACCCTTTTCGACTATTTGAATTGACTTTTACTTTGATTAAAGAAATACCCGTTAATCCTGATCAACAATCTTCGTACTTTTTTAGTAGTCATGAAGTTGTGGACTATTCTTGAAAATAACTATCATATCATAAACGTACTAGTCATTAGTTTACTTGGCCTCGTGAAGCTCGCATAAGTGCTCTTTTAATAGATCTTTTCCTGATCATAAATCTCATCCTCTCTTTAAAGCTATGCTTCTGGATGTTAGTGAAGCAAATAAGCGTCCTTTTTTATAGGCTTTATCATTTTGGAGACAATCAATCCCAGATGAATTTCAATCTATCTGAAATTCAATATACAAATATGAAATCCGTCTTGAATCTACCTGAAAGAGACGCTGCTTCGAAATAAAATGTTATTATCTGAGGCTTCTCCTATATAAGAGCTAGCTTACCGGAGCAGAAGCACTCCATTCATTCAATATAACTGAAAGATTTGTCCGCACTTTCTCCGACTCTTCCTGAGGAAAGTTCAAGCGAATCACCTGATTTTCATGTTGTTGCAGGATAAAATCTTTATCTTGACGTAAAATGGCGTGTGTCTCTCGAAGGTGTTGATTTTTCCTGTGATTAGCCTCCTTGTCTATATGGTTCAAAAAACAAGATGTCCAGATTTTTTGGTAGCAGCTCACAAGGCTCGAAGCTTCTGAAGCGAGCATTGGGTCCTCTAGTCGCAATCTTTCTAGCACTGCTAGCACTTTCGTAAAAGGTGCCAAATCTCCGCTGATATTCTCATCATGTCTAAACTATATTGTTGACAATTAAACTTTAGCAACTTCCTTGTGTAGAAGTAATTGGAACGGATCACGAGATTACTGGTGTAGCTAGACCAGAGGGGGACTGAGAAGATGCATCACACCAAGTCACACCTTCATCTTCATTCTTTACTGTCTGATTCACGTTATCGATTGTTTCAGCAAACATTCTAGCGAGTGGGGAATTGAAGAGCAGCCAGTATCCATAGTAAAAGGGCTGGAGACCTCTCTGGATTTATCTTTTTCAAGCCGGCGGACTTCTAACGACGAAAGGTCGCGATTCTTCATGGGCTTGGTACAATCGGAAAAACCTAGCTAGCGGTTCAATTCGCACGAGAACATCAACACGATTTCACAGCTATATTCTGTTTAAGTTGTAAAGACCAAGACACGCTCTTATAATAATTTAGCTCTGTCTTGCCTCAGTTACCCGGACAATCGCAAACTGATGAGGCAATCGGTGACGAGGAGCTAGAACAACGAGCTAGACAAGTATCAAAGTGGCTAGCAAGTGACGGTAATTCTCGCTGGTTGATCATTTTTGATAATATTGATCACTGCTCTCCGATCGATAGTGGGGTTGGGAATGCGTATGATATTGGAAAGTTCTTTCCTATAGCAGATCATGGGTTAATTCTTATCACCTCTCGACTTCCAGCGCTCATTGAATTAGGAAGGTCTATTTCAATCCGCAAACTTGACTCGATAGAAGCAATTCAGCTTCTCTTAAATAATAGAGGCTTATCGAATAGCCATACCATTGAGAAGCCTGGCGGTAATCTAGGTATGATGATATATGATACAGAGATTTTGATAATAATACTTATATAAGTAGATACTGGCCAGGTATATGTTAGATCCTGAACATACGCTATGATCCCATCGTCCCCATTTTGAGCTGGCTGAAATGGAATTTATGAGGACGATCAACGTCTTCAACTTCATTATCATTTTTAACTACTGCCTTTGACTCTGGAAACTCGTGATAAAACTGCAAGACTGAGGGAGGGCCCTCGTAGGTACAGCGGATGTGGGATGCCTTGCACGTCGTACAGCGAGGGCGTTTATCATCGCATTGTTTCTTGCGTCTTTTGCATGTCAGACATGACATTCTTACGCACATAAACGAGCAAGAGACTAGATGTCTAGAAGGGAGGAATCGGATTATGTTATGTTCCGTGTTCCAGCATATTACGTAAGTCTCAATCGGCGCTCTAAGTAATAATTATGAATGAGTTTAAAGATAGTTAATTGGAATTAAGTACAAAATGATATAAATTTCTTGGTAAAATCGAGGCAGAAAAATGATATTGTACCCTCATTTAATCGAAGTTATCCTGTGAGGATCATACTTCCACCGGAGATTACAATAGCGAAAACCAACACGATCTGGTTTGTGAGGGAAGAACTCGACAGCGGAGCAGCGCCTTATATAGGTATTACCTCCAGGGCTTACCTTCGCACCTGGGCAGGCTTCACTCCAAGGCTCTACATCATCTCACTCTAATTTACTTTACATTCTTCTACTTTCCACCCGGACATTATTTTACTTTACAACCTGAACTTTACGTTATTTTACTTCACTTCTCGAGGGTGAGTAGATTTCTTTTCGAGCGGGAAATTGTTAGTTAATTAGTTACCCTGAACTCATTTCGTCATAGATCTAAAAAAGTAGGTAGATAAAAACCTTTGAAGCCTCAAAGAGCGTATCTAAAGCCTCGGTCCTCAATGTCTGTCAGATCGAAATCATCAACTTCAGGCCATTCGCCTTCGGATTCCGCTGCACGTAGGTCTCTTCGCTTGTTTTCTATACTGTAGAGGTACCTGAGTGCAAGAGGAATGAGGAAAAGAGCCGCAAACGATACTATCATCGCGATAATAGCAGTTGGATAGCCTGATTTCTCCTCTCGGCTCAAAAAGAATTGAGGCGCAATCAGATTTCCAATACAATATCTATTCCGGAAAAAGTCAGTACACTTTTCTCTTCCCATTACTGCGCAATGAGTCTGACTTACCCGAGGAAGAGTACAAAGGTCACTGTGGTTCGCTTAGAGAACCCGGCGACATTACCACCAATAACCGAAAATGAGACCGCCAAGCTTGCTGAGTTCGTATATACTATCCAAATGGACACAACTCTACCCCATCGATTGGTATGTGGGAGCGTATATACCAGGGCAGTACCGATTATCGAGGGGATCACGGAGAAGGACATGATAATCAGGCGTAGATCCTTGGTTTTGGTCGCAATTAAGCCGCTTCATTGATAAATGTTAATCGATCGTCATCATATCTGGACAGATTTTTTTAATAGTGGCAACATACCTAATCAGAAGTGATAAAATCTAGATAACATGTGACGGAATTCCGATAAGTTGTGTTTGAACAGAGGTGAATCCGAATCCTTTGATCAACAGACTGCTGAACTGTTGGGTTTAATATCTAGTAAGTATAAAGAACACCTGCAGAGTAAATGGGTGATAATTTACGTTTGACAAAGATCCTGCTAGGATAGTATTCGCAATGCCGATAGCAAAGAAAAGATAAGTCTTGATATCGAGGCATGCTTCTTTGACCTAGGACCATTTCCACTTCGACTCGAAGTTATTATTCCTCTCTTGACTCTGTTGATAGTTAGCCTAGCACGAAGCTTCCAGCCATAACATCCAGTGACATACCAGCAGTGCAGAGTATGCACGTTCATCTTCAGTCAAGAATGATGCTTTATCAGGAGAGGTGGGGAAGAAAAAGGCAAAAAAGAGGCCCCAAACAGCTGTGATTGAACCGAAGACGATATAGAGCAAACGCCACGGTGATACAGCTGCGTGAGTAAACCCAAAGGCATATCCCAGAAGACCCCAAATATACCAAATAATGGTGTACCTGCAAACCAAATAACCTGTCGAATAGGCTGCTCCTCTCGAGTGTACCATTGGGCTAATAATAGTCATTAGAAAATAGGATGGTGACAGGGCTTTTAAGAACGCACCAATGATGACCACAAAGCTAGGAGCCACGACAGACTCCAATGCTCCCAAGACGAACCGATTCACCATAAGTCCAGCAAAACTGGTGCAAAAGTTGGTCATAAGAACACATATTCCCCACGCACTAATAAAAAATCCAAGGTATACTGATGCAGGGAACGAATGGAGAAGACTGGCGAGAGAATACTCGAATAGGAAGTAGCCAAAGTAAAATATTGATCCAACCCAGCTATACTGTTGTCCATGAAGGTGCGTATCCTCTCTGAAAGTGTAAACAGCAGCGTAGCCTAGAATTGCTTTGTCGAGAAATTGAAGACCGTAAGTAATAAGCATCTAAGATTCACTGAGTTAGTTTCTTTCCTGGGTAAAATTGAAACATCAAACTAACCATTGGTAGGATACGCATGTCCAGCTTTCTAAGTATTCGAGATCTATGTAGTGAGGCCTGGATTTCAATCTCTGGCTCATGAGCCTTGATCTCGAATGCTGTGGCTTGACCTGAGATTCCATCTTTGTTCGGCAGCTCCATATCGGACATGTTCTGTGAACAAATCTCAGAGATTCAGAAACTTGTGGTTTAACACACCCATTTCTTTCAACGGAGAATAAACTATTAAATATACCTGACCATATTACTCAAATTCCTATCTAGATGTCAAAGGAAGAGATAGCGAGATAGCGAGATAGCCTCAATGGAGTCTCCACTATCGCCAAAGCATCCCAAAATGGACATTTCAGCGAGCGCCTTTCTGCCCTAAAGTAGATAGATTGGCGATAGGCGCCAAAGAGCTCAACTCGCCTGGTTTTATAGAGTCAAATGTCCGTAATTTGTAAATTCAAAATTGAACTTCAGTATTTACATCTCCCGCTAAAATGGCTCCTATATCTACTGAATTTTCCAATGGCGTCCTGCCAACTAAGGCCGCAAAGCAGCAGCCTTACCAGGGCAGTCTCGCAAAAGATGTGCCCCTCATAAGCTCCTTGAATCTCTCCCAGGTTGAGCCCTACAAATTGGAGAAAAGGTTATTAAATATTTCCGCCAATGCTCTTGGACCTGTCAATGTACCAGTCTACATATACCGGAGCTCTATTCCCGGGCCGACAATCGGCCTCACAAGTGCTATACATGGCAACGAAGTAAATGGTGTTGCCGTTATCCAGCAGATATTCTCCAAGCTAGAATCCGAGTATAGCCAGACTGGAGAGAAAACTTTTGAAGGTGCCATTATTGGTGTACCCGTTTTGAACGTACCAGGATTTTTGGACTCCATTCGTTCATTTGATGGCCAGGATCTTAATCGTCTAATGCCGGGGTTTGTAGCACATTGTGAGCACCGAATTCAATTTCTCTAACGTCTATCATAGGAAAGCAGATGGAGCAGCTCCTCAACAATACGCATACAAGCTATTCCATGAGGTCATCTTGAAATTTGACTACGTGTTTGATCTTCATACTGCGTCGGCCGGTAGACAGAACTCTTTGTATGTGCGTGCCGATATGACGCATTCTGAAATTAGCCAAATGGCACGTTCCCTTGGCTCTCAGATTATTGTACACAATTCTAGCCCCGGAGGCTCGTTGCGAGGGTGCGCCCAGGCAAATGGCATCAAAGCTATTACCATCGAGGTAGGCTTACTTTGGAGAACAGAAGCATCAGAAGAAATCTCACACTTTACAGATTGGTAATCCTAGCATTTTCCAAGAAAAGCTGATTAAAAAAGTGATCTCAGGAATTAGCAATGCTCTGACGGTGCCCCTCGGCCATCAGTTACTGCAAGATACCAACCCCAAGATTTCCGAAGCAGCAACAGCTGTATGCTACAGAAGTGTGAGTTTGCAATATTTTGGTTGCCACTGGACAGCAAATTAGAGAATTATTTGGCTGATTATGTACACAGTACTGGGTTTTCTCTCAAAAAGCAGGCATACTCCGAGGTGAGAAACATTGGATAAGCCATGCACTATGGCGCTTTGCCGATGTACTAACTCCCTGAGCAGTATATAAACAAGTGGCTGAGTCAATGCGAAGAGGCGAACTCATTGCTGAAGTTCGTTCAATTTTTGGTGAGGTAATCGAGCAAATCTTCAGCCCTATGGATCAAGACACAGTAGTGGTCGGCATTGAGGCAAACCCTGTCGCTAAAACAGGAAATCGTATTGTGAGCACCCATTAACATCACTCATCAGACTCAATTAAATACTAACTGAGCCGGAAGGTTCATCTGGGAGTGATCGGCGACGACTTCAAACCAGGGGTGTGTGACGGTCATCTGTAGAAGATACTTCCCAAATTCGGAGATCTATATACGACGATAGGATATGGAACACAGCCCTGGTGCTTCCCGTTAGCTGAGCCGTTATTAAGCCACCTAGGCATTTATGAAGCACAGCTAATAGTTCATATGCCCTCAGTACCCATATTATCTTAAGCAGCGATAATTTCTTTCACCCAAAAATAGTTGCAAATACACAAGAAATGTTTTAAATGGAAGGCTTTGTAGATCCCGAGGTCCTTAAGACTATCGGTCATGATTTAGTATATAGAATCTAATGATCAAGTAGTGGTTGTCTTTCAGTATCAGATCTTTGCCTTCTTTGTCGCAATGCTAGCCGTAGCATAATTCCTTGTCCGATTGCGAAGATAGCCTCGTCAACTGCTATAAAGCCAAACATGCTATGCCAAGCAAAGATGATTGCGGGTATGAATTGATAATGGGGCATGAATGGAGGAGCTTCACCAAGAAAGTCCTGTAATGGGAAATTTGCTCGGACAACCCAGGATATAGCCGATATCATAAAGGCAATTGATTGAAACTTCAGCCCTCTGATTGAAAATGGCGAGCTACATCGTTGAACGTGTCGAGTTTGTAAATAAGTCCCAAGAATTGCGATAAAACTTATAATTGGTCGAATACAAATCTCGTGTATATTCATGAAGAGCGCAACCTCATCACGTTCCATGAAATCACAGCTCTGTTCTCCAGGAGGACAGAATGTGTTAGTTGTTGCGTCTATTATAAGAGGCACCAAGGATATCAAGAGCGAGATAATGTAGATGGTCAGGATGAAGAACTTTTGAATCCGTCCTAGAGCAGTGTACCATAGGTAGAAAGAGAGCCTAATGAATATGATCAGTATAGTTTGGAAGTTTTTATATAAAAGGGGACACTGTTTACCAGACGTTAAATAAAACCCATACACCTATAAGTTGAAATAGGTTGATCCAGTCAAGTGCATTTCTCGGACTATGCACAAAGTACCCTGAGAAATTTGCTGAATTGATCACGTAGAAGAAACCAAAGCAAAGATGTTCTGTTGCACATATAATATTGGATAGAAGATAAAATGACTGGATTCTCTTAGAGTCTTTGTCTATGATTATTTGCCGGATATGTGGGCCAAAGGAGGCTAGGACCAGGATAAAAACAAAACTTATGTACCTGTCAGTGTTCGGGGCTAAAATACCAATCACTTGAGTAGAGGGAGAGACTTACGAGCTTAGAATAGCGATCAGCATCATGTATAGGTTATAACTATCTATAGAACACCTGGGCAGGTAGAAATTGGGGGAGGAATTGTTTAATGATGCGAAAATTATTCCTCCTTTTATCCTCAGTCTGGGCGGGGTTATTGTGTCACTTCTAACTAGATATAGAGTATTCCTCCGTAGTAAATACTACCGAAATCTTTTAAGGTTAGTTAAAAAGTGGCGCCATATGAAAAACTTGCTTGAAATCCAGTCTCTTATGCTGATTTAGTCGATGATGATGAGAAGTCGAGAATTCGGAAACATGCTATAAAGGGTCGAAGCTCTTAGTGATTATTCTTAAGTGCTGCTTACTTTACCTAGTATTAGAGAGATGTTGTAGTCCTTTAAGTTGTACAGTTTTATTTATTTAAGCTTTTAAACCTATTTAATCGCACGCGCTAGTCTAGGTAGGGAGTATATTTTAGTTGAATTCTCTTGAAGCTAAGTGCATGTGGTTTCAAAAGTAACCTTTGAGAGATCACGTGGAACTACCTTTCTATCAATTGGATCCGAAGCAGGTATGACTATCCGTGGCCGACCATCATTGTCCTTTGGTTCTAGAACATCATGACCCTGCACAAATGGTAAGGTGACCATAGTAGACGTATGATCCTCCTTAGAACCCCAGTCCCACCAGTCTAGTTGTGTTTCTTCGAACTGGGAACGGAGTGTGTCGCCAACTTCTGCATTATCAGGAACCTCTTCAGTATATGTCCATGACCACGTCTCTCCCGGGCAAAGACTTGCGAACTCATCACTCCTACCAACGGCAACTTGTATATCAGGGTTATCAAACAAGGCAAACCCAGGAGTAGGCTCTTCAGCCGCTTCCCACGAATCACCGCGTTGTATATAGAGCCAAATTGTCTGAAAGCTGTTGATATGGAAAACAATAGGCCGTGATTCACCAGGATGCCTTTGGTAGTAAGTGACATTTATAGTGAGAGGGAAATAATCAAGATATTCCACCACGGGGAGCGGACATTCAATATCCACGATTAAGATTGGAGTATCGAGTCTATGAGATTTATAAGCAGATTATCATAACTCCCGTTAGGAAAAGCCTACTTATGATCTTTCTCTGTATTGGAAAGGTACGGACTGACGAAGCTATCCTTATTTTTGTCGGGAAGAGGCATCTTGAGTGGAATTATCAGAGAAGCGATAGAATTTTTGCTCGAAAGACCATAGACACATAGATGAGAAACGAAGAGGAAAAGAGGGAAGTGGGAAGAGCTATAGAGCCCAGGTGAAGTGAATCCGCCTAAGTGGGGTAAATAGATCGTCGCTTATATTTCTGTTTATGTCATAGAACAAACTAATTAGCAGCCACTAGTTTACTTAGCCTGCATCCTGCATCCGGTTAGGCTAACAACATTGCATGATATTGACCTCGGAATGTGTCCGATTAAAAAAATTTGCACTAGAAACCTTGGGACTCCGAAGTGGTGGAAATTATCATTGATGCTCTGGTAAATATGTTGTGAATTGAAAAAAGATTAGATATCAGCATAGCTAGGTAATAAATAGCAAAGTTTGTTGCGTAGGGTCCACACTTATTGTATGGTTACAATGGAAAGAACCTTGGAAATAGTGAAAGTATCTCAATTGAAATAGACTATTGAGATTGAGTGTAAATTGATGTCTACCTGTTTTCCTGCCGTAGTACGGAGTACATCATCGTACATGTGTAGTATGTGTGGATCAAGTGGAAGGAAATAAAACTCCGCTTCGAATTCTTGGACCTTGAGATCATACGTTATATCCCTGAGCCCGGAGTATTTATCCACTCATTATAACTCCGACTTCAGGATAATAAAATATCAGAAATAGTTAACTACAATCCTATCAATTTAAATTTAAATGGCTTTATGATGATGGTTAGAACCTAATTTTTAAGGGCTCCTAATATGTTTGAGCAAAGATCCATGGATCTATTTATCTCCAGACCACACGGCGTATTCTTTAGCTCTCGTGACTCAGTCAGTGAATGACCAAGACCACGCTAGCATAATTTACCTGGCGCAGTCTGTACTATATTAGTCTAGTTAGTGCTCGCGGCTATCGCCTGATCCCATGAACAAAATCCTTCAATGTTCACCGGTGAAATTATCTAGATGGGCAGTATTATACTCTTCCATGTATACGGAGTGTCAGGTGGATACAAGCTAACCCGGTTTATGTCAGTATAAAGTGGGTTTCGTACTACGGCCCCCTATTAGGAGCAAAATAACACCGTGCGTATAGACCCTTAAACCCTATCATGAAGCTTAATTATAGAATAAATGTAACAGGTTGAATCCTGGTGAACTATCACGTGGTTGTACCACGTGACCCACCAACCGCATACCTCACGATTCCACCCCGAATTGTTCACGTTCTTCAAGGATTTTGTAAATAGCATGTGCCTAGCTAGTTCTGAATTCAAGATTAGCTTTAGCCCTTCACATACAAAATCCTTCCTCTAACGAGAGTAAAACCCACGACCGACGATAAGAAAAGCGCTCTCAGAAAGTATCTGATCGAGCCACATACGACAGACGAACGAATCGCTCTCGGAAAGAATCCGATCGAGCATACCAACGAATACGAAAAGCTCTTAGAAAGTATCTAATTGAGCGTCCTACGAATACGAAATCGCTCTTAGAAAGTATCTAGTTGAGCATCCGACAAACGAATTGAAGACGGAAAGCATCCGATTCAAACACGAGAAGAAAACGAATATCTTCATCATCATGACTATAAGCGAACCGTCGAGCCCACCCGAGTGGGCCAAGACGTTGATGCAGCACATCAGTCAGACAAGTATTAGTACCGATGAGAGAATTAGAAGACTCGAAGAATTAGTGGTTCGGTCCCAGGAGCGAGCCGCTCCCGAACCACCCACGGAACCACAAGGGATACCAATCGAATCAACCAGCGATAATAACCAGATTCGACGACCTCGCCCTCGTCTCCCCGACCCCGCGATGTATATAGGAAACATCTCTGATTAGCCAACCTGGAGAATCTCGATAGAGAACAAATTGCTAGTAGACGGAGCTGCCATCGGTACCCCACAGGAGCAATTCCTCTATATATTTTCCCGCCTAGAGAAAATGGCCGCTAAGAACACCGGAATGTTTGTGAAGACACAACGAAGCGAAGGCAACCTGTATATGCTTCTAGAATATCTTGAGAGGATGTATAGGGACCCTAACGCTTAGTCACGAGCAGCTCGGCGTCTACATCAGCTTAAACAGAAGCCCGATTAGCCTTTTTCACAATTCCTTCCCTAGTTAGAAAGAGAGCTCGCAGATGCTGGTGCAACCGAATGGCACGACGAAGCAAAACGACAACTCTTACTAAATGCTCTTAACGAAGATATGACGAATTCGCTTATGAATCGTGGTGTTCCCTATGATTTTATAGGTCTTATCACACGGCTCCATGAAATCGACACTGATAGTGAGACACTAAATATTATATTAGGCAGACGCTAGTTATCTACTCGCCAGCGAATCCAAAGAGATCAATTAACCACAGCTATAGAGGATAGGATGGACTGGACTCCAACAATAAACATGAACACCATATAGACGAATTCGTCCCGATTCGTGAACGAAAAGGGATAGGTTCGTAAAGAGGATCAACATCTTGTGGGAAAACGTGCAAAATAGGTCGAGAAAGAAGAACTCTAACGTCGCCGTACAGAAAAGAGATGTCTACGATATGGTCGAGACAACTGTTGGCAAAGTGTATGCCCTTTACTGCCCGCACGGAATCCGAACCAAGTAGTGGTACGGAATGCAGTAGTCGAAGAACCAAGATCGAGCCACCCCCGAAGAAGGGAGTATTCGCCAGCGATTGAAGAAGAGGAAGCAGAGAATGATTCGGGAAAAGATTAGCTCCTATACTAAACCGCGAGCAGGAGCAGAAGGGGGTTGAGAAGCTGCTAAAGAAAGAGGCGTTATTCTATATCGATGCTAGAGTTAATGGAATTCAATTCGCGAAGACTTTAGTAGATAACGGAAGCGATAGCTATATATCTATCAGCGGACACCTAGCGTAATCTCTTAACCTTCCGCGTATCCCGATTCCACCGCGAATCCTGAACGGAGTCATCAAGAATCAAGGACGGATCACTTAGGCCATATACTTCGATCTTGATGTTAATAGACTACAACAGCAGAAAGTCTTTGCCTATATCATTCCAAGACAGTCAGACGAAATGATACTTAGGACGCCTTGGTTAAAAGATGTCGACGGAGTTTACGCTACGAAATAAGGGTATTTAGATATCCATTCGAGAAATAGAGAGCGCATTCGTTGTTAGAACTGTATCGACCTATCAATCGGTCCAACAAAAATAAAGAGATTGAAAGTATAGTAATCATCTACGGGAGAAATTAAAGAACTATTCGATAGCATTTCGTCGCCGGACCACCTCCGAATAGCCAAAGTGACTATGGACGATATTGATAAGGCGCTGCAACCTAAGAAATTCACTGATCCGAGAGCTAAACTTCCCCCACAATATCTCCCTTGGTTAGATGTTTTTAGCTAGGAGAAAGCAGACAAGCTTCCGAGCCATCGCCTAGGGATCGATCATAAGATACCCTTGACACGCGATAGAAATGGTAACGAATCGACACCACCTTATAGGCCATTATATGGAATGAATAGAGAAGAGCTATTAGTTCTACGAAAAACTCTTACCGATCTACTAGGAAAAGGATTCATACGAGTCAGCAAATCGCTAGCAGCTTCACTAGTATTATTAATACAAAAACCTGGTGGAGGCATCTGATTCTATGTCAATTATAGAGGGTTAAACTCCATAACCATCAAGGACCGTTACCCCCTACCTCTGATTCAAGAAACACTACGAAACATGTCGAAGGCTCGCTGGTTTACTAAACTCGATATCATAGCGGCTTTCTATAAGATCAGAATACAGGAAGGCGAAGAATGGAAGACAGCGTTTCGAACACGATACAGGCTCTATAAGTGGCTAGTTACACCTTTTAGCCTAACTAGCGCTCCCGCAACCTTCCAACGGTATATCAATAAAGTTCTACGCGAATTTCTCGACGAGTTTATGTCAGCATATATGGACGATAACGTGCGTCACGGTTGACCGAGCGTCCCGGTTGATCGAGCGACGCATTTGGAACTTAAAAAATCTAAGATTTTCAACATCAACTTTTAACACCAAAACATGAATTAATTATCTATTTAACGCGTGTAGGACACTGGGTATATATATGGCCTTTGGTTCCACAACCTGAACAGGTGACGAGTCGCCTAATAGTAGGTAAAGTAGGCAATGGAACATCTTCTATAGGTTGTCCAGGAGCATCCTCTAGGGATATATATTCAACTCTACCATTCTCCTGAGCAACCACGCTTTGCTGCAATTCCTCCAAACTCCGAAGACTCCCTTCATGGCCTCTGTGCTTCTTGCTAGCCGCTCTCTTTTTTATCTTTCTCTTCGCAGTATTCTCCAATCGCTGAATACGGTCTTCCATCATCATCATCCGAATCGCCATCTGAGTATGCGCATCTTGCGACCGATAAATTTGTCGTTTTAGAGGTGAAGTTAAAGCTCCTGAGGAAGATTCGAGTTCTTTCTTGATAGCAGAATTCGATTTTTGGACTTTCGAGTAGCTCCAAGGCCGATTTGAGTCACTGCTGCTTGAAGAAGTAGGGCGTTGAGGGTGGTCGTGAGGGGGGTCTTGAGGGGGGTCTTGAGGGTGGTTTTCGACCATGATATTCAGCTTTTCTAAAACATGATTAGCATCCAGGGGTACTAAACTAGCGCCCCTGAAGCTATTCACTATAGTAGATGCTTTAAATGTTGCTTTGCGTGTATAAGGATAGATTTGGAGGAAATCATCCTTATCAATAGAATCCACTCCATTCTGTATTTCAGCACTAATCAGGCCTCCATATACCTTTTTAAGCACCGAAAAACATCCTACATTAAGAGGTTGTAATAGATGGGATGAATAAGCTGGCATACATAGACAAATAATATCGTTGTCCGCGCATAGTTGGTCGAATTCTGGCGTACGATGCGAAGAATGACCATCTAAAACCAACAGAATATATCTCCCTTTCTGGACCAAATTAGGTATAAAGTGGCTTTTCAGCCAAT